GACAATTTTGCAATGACTTTCAAACGGTGACATTTTCGTAAATGCAAACCCAAAAAATGACATCTGGTGTAATTTCCTCTTAAAAAAATTGAAGAACAAAATTGTTCATCTCCCCATCCCACCCCACCCCACCGTACTCTACCCTACCCTAACTTACCCCTCCTCTACAAAATCTCGAAGAAAGTTGCTGAAAATGGATACGATTATACCCTGTTTAGATCTGAATTTGTACACTGAATCCAAATCTTCTTCATCTACGAACATCCAAAAAAAAAAAATCATCTCCAAAATCGAACCCATTTGTGAACCCTCACCATTTCTACTCTCTACAACCCATCAAATGCCCTATGTTACTCCGCCGTCCGAACCGACATCTCCTACCGCATTTCAGAGCTTTTTTGCACAACCTTTGCCCAACGACTCTAGAAGTACAGTGAGGTAGCTATGCTTTCTTATGTAGACTCAAATTCGGGAGCTATAGTTCCTTACAACAATCCTGAAACCCAGGTTGCTAATGCTGTTATATCGCCCCGTGTTGGCCACAAAAATGACCAGCGTTTGTCGGAGCTTGTCCGGGTTATGAATTTTAAACCCAAGGACCATCTTTGTTTTCGGGGCAGAATTTGTTGAACCCGGTTGCTATTTGACTCCCTGCGTGCCTTCTTGGTTGCACAGATTGAGAAATGTCGTAATTCTTTGAAAAACAAAACGATTTTGATTTTTCGTTTGGGTTCCATTTAGCAGTAGAGAACATGGTTGAAGAGGTTGTGGTGGTGGCGATGACGACGGGTAGGCTATGAGTGATGGTTTGGATTCCATTTTCAATGTTGTTGGTTGAGAGGGAGGGGTGGGGAGATGAACAATTTTGTTCTTCAATTTTTTTAATTGTTTTATATGGAAAAAATGTTAAGTTACCATCTTACCTTTTTTAATTTGGTCAAATTCTACTATTCTTGGTTAACCAACGGTCAAATGGGTTTCCATCCATTTGGACTTCATTTACATGTTTTTGAAATATTTGAAATTGTGGTTGATACAAAGTGAAGGTTAGGATAAAATCTGCAAAAAAGTAAAAAGTTGGAGATTGCTGGTGCAATTTTCCCTTGTCAAATTGATGAGACCTTCTTCAATATAGAATTGTTCCATTTCAACTACCCATCATTTTCTACTATAAATATCTGAATAAATGCACGTAAAATTATACAAACAACATAGAGATAGAGTATAAAGCGTTGGGAGTTGCTAATAAATTGAGAGAAATTGAAGAATGGCGATGGGGTCGTGGCGAGAGAACTTGAGAAAGTTGAGGCCATTTTTGCACCTTCTTTTGCCATTATGCGTGCACTTGATTGCTGAAGAAATTATCGTTTCTGTATTGGTTGATGTCACCACTAACGCTCTTTGTCCTGGCCGGAAAACTTGCCCTTGGGCATTATACATCAGTTGTCTACGGCAAACAGTAAGGCCCTGTTTGATTGCACTTCAATTCCAGAAGGAAATTAAATTTCACTTTCCACCTTTTTTCATGTTTGATTGGCCAAAATTTTCATGGAATTGGTTTTCCATCTTTCACCCCACGTGCTCACATTTTCTTGATTTTTGAGGAAAAACTTTTTCCGTCACATTTTCTTTGGTCGGAAAAACTTTTCCAAACAACTTATTTTTATATATTTTTTACAATGGAAACAAATTCTATCTCCAATTGTAACAAATTATATTCCTTTAAAGAACAATTTCCATGGAAAACAAAGTCAAACGAATACCAAAAGATCCAAAATTTCAATATTTTCTAGGTGGAAAATTATATCAATCAAATACAATTAATTGATAATTCTCAATAAAACAAGTTCTAGACAATTCAATTTCCTGAAATTCATTTTCTTTCCACCCAAATTTCATTCTTACAATCAAACAGACGTAAGTGATCTTTGTGCCTTTCTCTCCTCTGTCACAGACACACACATATAAAAAAAGTACTGGATATGGGCTTTGTTGTTTAATGATCGGTTACTGTAAAAGTTAAACCATTTTGGTTTTTATACAGAATTTATGGCTTCTAACCTTATCTTGGTTCTGATGGAATCTGCCTTCATCTTGATTTTTTTCTTATCTTAAGTTAATAATTTGCCTTCTTTCTGGGATGATCGGTTTTGACCCAACTTCACATAAATAATGCAGGTGTGCAGCATCCCCAGATCGTGTAGATCTAGAAATTGATTAAATTATTTGTTTCAAGAGCTTAAAACTCCAGTATATCTTTTATAATATATATTTGTGGTTATGTATATTCCTTAGCTTCATCTTTTGGGATGGCTTTTTGATTATGGTGGTGAAACAGATTATTGAATTATCTCAGTTACACCTACATATTTATTTTTCCATTTACTTATAATAATTATCGATTTTAACCGATTAATTTACATACTCATAAAGCTGTCCTTTTGCATGCTTAACTAGATCTCACTCTAGCAGAAAAAAAAAGGAATATGTTACTTGTACATAATGCGGTGTCCATAACGGTGTCTACTCCCTCACATGGAGGGGTCCTACTTCAAATAAAATATAATACATTCGAAGTGGGTCCCCTTCCATGTGAGGGGGTGGACACCGTTATGTACGTGTAATATCACCAAAAAAAAAAGTTGTTTTTAATGACAATTTGAGCATCACTTGTGGATATTCTTTTCCTTCAAAGGAATCATTGATGTGTGTAATTTTGTCGAATTGCATCTTGACTACGTAAATTTTCATTGTAATAATTGTGAAGAAGACAGAGTTCAAATTGCTTTTGATTTGTTTGTTTTTC